CACTTGACAGGAGAGGTTTGGTTTGGGCTCTGCAGTGAGTTTGCAGGTCACGATGTGAGAGCGAGGTAGGGAGGACAGAAAATCGTCCACCATCTGTCTGTCTCCTATCTGCAATGCAGACTGCTAGGAGCCATACTGCAGGACACCTTCCAGCACTAACCATATGGTCTCCTCTGACTCCCTCGGGCCACCACGTCTTTGTCACTCTCAGTCCAGGGAGTTAAGGTAGGCGTGACTCCATGTCTAGTGATCATGGGGCTCAGGCTTGACCAATCAGGGCCCTGCATTCCTATGGACCAATGAGGAGCACACAGCCCAAGGTAGACCACCCAGAAACTGCAACGCGATGCCGGGACGCCTTTCTTCAGAACTGCTAGCGAAGGGACTCTCACTTTCTGCCGGACCTGCAAGTGGTAGGACTTAACCTGGAGCTATTGGACATAATCCTGAAGCCACAGAGAGAACCTGAGAATCACAGTAACAGAGAATCCCAGGACTGGGAGGGAGAGATGGCATTCCTTTAACATCAGCGGATCCCTGAATTGCCACGGTGGAAGCTGGAATTTGCCCCTTAGATTGTGTCAGTCCTATAAGCCAGACTCCTTAACAACCCACAATACGCACATGACACAGCCTTGCTTGCTGAAAGTGAAGAGGACTTGAAGCACTTACTGACGGAGATCAAAGACTACAGAATTCAGTAGAGATTACATCTCAACATTAAAAAAAAAAAAAAAAAATCCTCACAACTGGACCAACAAGCAACATACTGACCAACAAAGAAAAGACTGAAGGTGTCAAGCATTTCATATTACTTGGATCCACAATCAGCGTCCGTGGAAGCAGGAGTCAAAAAGTCAAATGATGTTTTGCATTGGGCAAATCTGCTGCAAAAGAGTTCTTTAAAGTGTCAAAAAAAGAAAGATGTCAATTTGAAGACTAAGGTGCCCCTGACCCAAGCCATGATATTTTCGATCGTCTTATATGCGTGAGAAAGCTGGACAATGAATGAAGAAGATCGAAGACGAACTGATGCATTTGAATTATGGTGTTGGCAAAGAACACTGCCAGAAGAACAGACACATCTCTTGGAAGAAGTACAGCCAGAAGTTTCCTTAGAAGCGAGGAGGGGGACCCCTTCTTTCACATACTGTAGACACATTATCAAAAGCGACCAGTCCCTGAAGAAAGGCATCATGCTTGGTCGAGGGTCAGCAAGAGAGAGGAAGTCTCTCAACAAGATGGACTGACGGTATGGCCCTAACAATGGGGTCAAGCACACAGTCATTGTGAGGATGGTACAGAAATGGGCAGAGTTTTGTTCTAGTGGACACTGGGCCACTGTGAATTCAAACAGACTTGACAGCACCTCTTAAAACAATGACATGAGATTGTAAGTTTCTCCTGTCCTGAGACATTGGACTTAGATGCTCTGTGGACAGCTGGAAGGCGGTTTGGTGGGAGTTTGACACTGTAACTAATGGATCAAGTGTCTGGTTATGAACAAGAAGGCTTATCAGCTGTTGTGCTAAGACACCACCATGTTTCTTTGGACCACATTCTTCACAACAGCATGGGAATCATTTCAGGATACATTACTTTTCCTTTCACATTTTCCCTGCCACAGTTAGGCTGTTCTGTTTGGCCAGAGAAAGGTCCTAAAACTGTGCCTCTTTCATTACTTTATGTATTCGTTTAACTGGCATTTATAGAACATTTACTGAAATGTTGTTCTGAGCGCTGGGACTCAGGGAAGGGAAAACAAAGCCCCTTCCTTCAGTTAGTTCAAAGGTTAATGCTGGGGACAGCCATGGACATATATAACTGCAAC